TGCTGAAGGACACAGGATGCAGACTGTGCCTTTTGGGAGAAATGACAGGGCTGTAATTTAGGAACATGCATAACAGAGCCTAATCCTTCACAGCAGCTGCAGTGGCAAATACAGGCAGGCATCTGAATGAAAGCCACTTTTCTCTCAGTTAGCCAAGAGACCGAGAATGTTGCATTTAATGTTCCTTATTCAAGAACTTACCTGGGAATATTTTCCTCATTTACAACAGTAGGTGAGCCAAACAGCTTCTTCAGTTTTTTAGGTTTCAGAACAGTAGGGAATTTCCGTATGCCAACAAGCAAAAGGTGCAGGTTCTCTGGAGATGTGAAGGCTGAAGCAAGGTCACTTTGCAAGATGCCAAACAGGACCTCCTCAAACACAGATTCAGGAATCTAGACAGGAATGAAGGTGAAAGCATATGAGAAACATCTGAAAGCATTTACTAACTTGCTGTGTAGTATAATAAAATATCTGCATTGTAGGGCATTTTACTAAAAGCTTGCAATATTCTGAAAACTTTAGAAATAGTCTTTACAGTGACAAAACCAAAAATGAACCATGCATGTGTTCAGTACTGCCATACGGTCCCCAGCTACTTAACCAGGTGGCGCAGGGCAATATGCTGTCATCACAGAGCAATCCTGGTCAACTGACTCCCGCTGCAATTGCTCTCTTGCTGTCTGACTGCTCCTGTCTGGATGGCCCAGGGAGAAGGAAACACTCCTGTATTAGCTTTTAATCATGTTTCCCCAAAATTAGTTACTTGTTTCATTAAGATTTGCTGGTAAACTGTATTCAATAAGTTTAGAGAAAACTGGATCCAATGTTTCCATCAATATAAATAGGAAACGCACAAAAATCTACTTTTAATTTGTATTTTTTTTAAGATTGGGTTCAAAATACCTATAAATGTAACATCAAGACTAGATAGCCCAGAACACTTACCTACAGAATATTATTTTAACACTGTAAATCTTCACACAAATGAACAATATCCACATAAAAGAAGGAAATAAACAAACTCTCTTCTTTTACTACCTACTCAAGAGTTTCTTTACTCCATGTCCTTACGTGCTCTTACACTCAACAGCCCAAACTTCAACCACAGGCCCAGGCTAGGTGCATAAAAAAGGTTTGCTGGCCAGTTTTCAGCATACTTCTATTCAAAAGAGCACAGTCTAACATACCACCCAAGCAAGTCAGCTGGGTAAAAAACAGACTACAGGTTTGTTCATAATGAAATCAGACTGAACCAGACCATCCTTCCTAGAATAAAAGCATCTACTCACAGACAATATAGGAAACAGCTCCCACAGCTTAAAGTCATTCTTCCACACTCCTCCCTTAAATTTCAACTATGAACAAACTAAAGAAAAAGCAGTCCCTAAAGCAATGTCCTGCCTCCTCCCACCCACCACATGCTGTGGCTGTACCTCAGACACGATGTCAATAAGAGTTTTGCGAGGGAGATCTCTGAGGTGTGCTTGGTGATTTGCCAGCTGCTGGAGAAGCTGGATGCTCCCCAGCAGAGCTTGCTGATCCTGGACAGGAAAGATAAGCCAAAAACAAAGAACATGCATCAAAGATTAAGCTGAAGGCTGAGGTAATAATCTACCTTACACCTACTTATAACAAGAAATCTACACGATTGCTTCCTGACAGGCCACTCAGCTTTTCCTAAAATGGTGGTTTATGGCTGTACATGACAACAGATCCCTTTCTTCCAGGAGAGGCAGGAACCTCCTGTGCTATCTGACACAGTTCCTACATTCTAGTCAGGAACAGACATTTAAAAGGCACAAAAAGGCCATGGATAATGCACAAGAAATTCACTGAATCTGATGCTTCAAGTCCCATCTCATCGACTAGCCAATGACACAGCCTTTCTCTCTAGATCCTCTTTGCACTTCAGACAGCCCTAGAACTAGTACTGACAAACAACATAACAGCAATATTACCTTAACAAGCCGGCCAGATTGAAACAGAGCCATAACTCCAAAAAAGTTTCCAAAAGCAGCATTTCTCACAAGTTTCTGAAAAGGAAGAGAGAAAAAAAAAAGGAGGTTAAAGATCCACTTCACTGAGAGGTTAAGTTTCATGTTCAGCTACAGCTCTAATCAGTGGAACAAGATGGCTGGAAGATCTAGCCTTGAACACCCTGCCATGTGAAGGTTACACACTGAAATGCACCGCCCTGCACGATGTTTAAGAACTGTCCTAGATTGTCTTTCACACAAACAAATCTCAGCTAAAACAGGGCCAGATGACAATGTCATCAACTGCCAGTTGTCACAGATATTCCTATTATTTAGTCATCTGCTTTAGCTAGAGCCCCAAAACTACTGTACCCAGGCACCAAGCCTTCAAAGAATAGAGAACGGTTAATTTAAACTATTGGCCAATGCTGCTGTGAGCCAACTCACCTTTTTCACTTTTTCCAGATTGTGTTTTTCCTTTATCTGTTCCAGGACACTGCAAATTGGAATTTCCTCAAAAGCCTGTAAAACCTAAGGAGATGGATGGAATAGCTCAGTTTGCAGATCTTCCATTTTACAAAGTTTTACTGGGTTCAGCTGAAATAAGACCTGAACAGTTGCTCAGCATAACAGCAAATGTGCAGCTTTATCAGGCCAGAAAACAGGCAACTAGATCAGGAGATGGGAACTAATGTAGGCATAAATATACCTGCCGATACTCCTTTCCCCTATATGTGACATAGGAGTATTAATAATGAGAACATTTTCCTGCAACTGCATCACCCTGTATCTGAAGCAATGAAACTTTACAGCAAGGGTAAAGCTCTGCTCTAAGTAGGAAGAACACAGGCTCTTCTCCATTATCAACTACTTGGGTAAGATGAGGTCAGATCCCACTGGCGATCCCAATTGCTGAGACCCTTACAGACTCAAACAGTATGGAAGAAAACAAAACTCTTAAGTGTGTGTTAAAGGTTGCCTTTCCAGATCTGCCATGTAATCAGCCCAATACCAGGCGCAAGGCAATTTTAAGAAATCATAATAGTTCTAAATGCAGCATATTTGAAAACCCCATTTGCAAAGGAAGGATGGTTCTTGAAGCAGAACAGAACAGCGTAACATGAGCATGATACTGGTATAGCTTGTACCTTTGTAAGTGCATTGCTTCTGAAACAGACTAGCACCATTGAAAACCACACAGGTTTATACACGAAAAGGCAACAGCCTTTCCTGCCATCTGCATGCAGGCGCTGCCAGAGGGGAGCCCTCCAGCCTCCTTACCAACAGCAAAGCGGGGCCCCAGGAATGGAGTGGGCTGGAGAGGGACCGCAGGGCGCTCTGCTCTGCCCTGCTCTGCGAAACACTGACCTGTGCCAGGGCCAAGCTGAAGCCAGGGCGGGCGGCCTCGCGGGTGGCTCCCAGTCCTTCCACCAGACGCTTGAGGGTGTACTTCAGCTCATCGTCCTGAAAGAGAGACCCAGCTCCGGAACCCTGCGAGGCTGCCGGGGCCCCCGCTCCTCTGCCC